GTCGTCACTGAGCCGAATCTGCGATAAGGCAGCGGGCAGCGAGCCCATGTCGCTAGCAATCGGTGCAGAATGTCGCCATTCGGGTAAATCGCCCTTTTTCATGTCCATCTGCTCATTTATTCCGTTCATACAGTAGGAATGACCGTGATGTGCTGAGCACACAGAGTTATCCTTTGCGTTTTGCATCGAATCTAAATAAGCTCTGAGTAGTTCATAGAAGAAGCTCAAGTTTTTATTCGAAACACAGCTCGTTGTCATTTGCCTTCCATCTTTTTTCATGTAAATTATTTGTCTTGACGAATATGGTATAAACCATATAGAGAAACTGTCTTCACGATCGGTGTGGGAACCTTTTTTGAAGTTACTGTGAAGTGTAGCCTGGTGCCCTCACTCATCTTCTATCAGTAAATACCCCTCTCCACTATGCGCAGGTAGCATCTCTAGTAAATGCCATAACAATAAAGAGCAAGTAACATGTTCAGCAAATTATTCTGTTTCCACGATGCCGAATACACATTGCAGACAGCTCAAATGACGAGAAGTTTGTCTCTCTGTACGATTGCGAAGGCAATTCAGGTATTCCTTTCCTAACTACAGAAAATTTGTGTTTGAAGGCCTGCTAGTGATCGTTCTTGTATACACAGATACAGAAACTGGAAGAGAGCACTATTCTTTCAGTTGGATAATTTTAAAAAAGTCGGCGATGCAGCGCAGTTTGTGCCAGCTCTTTGCTATGCAAATTTTAATCAGAGCTTATACTAAATACTTGTTTCTGCATTCAGATGTATGCAACCAATTCAAGCTGGTCTCAGGCATACCAACGCTAATGCATCGTCCTCGTTTTCAGTTCACATGCACAGCACATGCGCATTACACATTCCCATATTTCGCTTCCTATTCGTTTTAGTAAAGACAGCTTCAGTTAAACAGGGAACTGTTAGCAAGTCATCAGAAAACAGCCGTATCGGTCTAGTTTACATAAACATATCTCCAGAGGCCGTGAAAAACTTTAAATTAGTTGAAAATCGCAGGTCCTTTTTGACTAATACAAAAAAAAAAAATCAAGCCAGAAGTACCATATGTCCACCTTTTTAATAACACTGCGCGGGATTAGATCTCAAGGGTGTGACTGCTTCAAACGCTGATTGTTATGGAAACAGCAGGGGAGCGAAAGACGCTTGGAGTATGATCAAATAAGTAATCAAGCTTCTTGACTGGGCTAGACGTCTTATAAGCACTTATAGACGAAAAAAATTCGACACTGCTAGGGTAGAACGCTGTGCTTTAAAATTTTGCTTCAGGAACCGATCAGTACTGCGCAAATTCATTTACCCTGATGACCAAGGAACTAAAAACCTAGTTAGTGCGATATTCTCATGAAAGCTGTCTCCTCATAACTTCATAGAATTATCATCCTTATCATGTGTTCGTTTTCTCCTCTTCCACCTGCTCTATCACTTCTACTGCTTTCATGTTATTCCATTTTCTCTTCTCACTCTCTCTCTTTTTCTTTCACTCATCCGTCTAGCAAATTAGTTACATGTTCTTTCAATACATGGCGGGTAGGCGGCTGTACTGACGATTCCAACTCCCACCCGCGTGCATAGTCCGGTCTGTGTTTACAGCTAAGGGATGAAACACAGACTGCGTCGAAAAATATCACCCC